CAAACAACGACCACATAGAGACATAAAACAACTACAAAGAGACAAACTAGGTCCACATAGAGACATAAAACAACTACAAAGAGACAAACTACGACCACATAGAGACATAAAACAACTACAAAGAGACAAACAACGACCACATAGAGTCATACAACAACTAGAATGAGACAAACAATGACCACATATACATAAAACAACTACAAAGAGACAAACAATGACCACATAGAGACATACAACTACAAAGAGACAAACTACGACCACATAGAGACATACGAAACTACAAAAACACAAACAACGACCACATAGAGACATAAAACAACTACAAAGAGACAAACTAGGTCCACATAGAGACATACAACTACAAAGAGACAAACTACGACCACATAGAGACATAAAACAACTACAAAGAGACAAACAACGACCACATAGAGACATACAAACCTACAAAGAGACAAACAACGACCACATAGAGTCATACAACAACTAGAAAGAGACAAACAATGACCACATATACATAAAACAACTACAAAGAGACAAACAACGACCACATAGAGACATACAACTACAAAGAGACAAACAACGACCACCTAGAGACATAAAACAACTACAAAGAGACAAACTACGACCATATAGAGACATAAAACAACTACAAAGAGACAAACTACAACCACATAGAGACATCAAATGGTTGTTGTACCTGAACACTAATACAAACTACTCACAATCTGCTTGAGGACGGTGCTGCTGACGCTCTGCATGCCGACACTGAGAGGAAGCTTGTAGCCGAATCCTCGCCCGAACTCCACCATCTGCAGCAGGGCGGGGTCTCTAGCCCCCTCCAGGGCAACCGTCAGCAGGGCGCTGACCCCTGCAGAAACCACACAAGAGACATAGACATAATGGAGTTACATAATCTACTTAATAATGGAAACATAATTATGTAATTATAAAGAGAAGGAATGCAAATCGTGGTCATGTTGGATATCCCAGGTTTTACCAGACTGTCGCAGCAGCTCTGATTCCTGCTCCAGTTTCATCACATCCTCATCGAGTCCGTCTGAGAAGATCACCAGCACCTGATGGGTCACATGTTAGACTGATTAAAGACTACATCTCATTCATTCAAGTGAAGGTGAAGACACATCTAACATGGTTATCCATCAACATTTGCTTAACCACGGGGAATAGAACCAGGGGAAAGCAGTGTCATCAAAGCAGGATCCTCTGTATTTTCATCAGTCTAACACCAAAAAAACCTTTCTAACAAAAGTCTAGCAGACTGGAGGACTAACACTTGCCAACTTGTACTTGTTTATACATTTCATGGTTTGTTAAATCCCATATTGGCGGGATATTTGTGGTTTGGCATCAAAGGTCGTCACAATGAGATCCAGAATGTTTAAACTATTAATTAAGAGTCATTTTGTCCAATGTTGTCAGATGCAGTCTAATTTTGGACTACAAGTGGACTCATTTTCAATTTATTCCAGCTGAATTACAACTCGTTCCACATTTAAATATCTGGCTGACTGAGCTACAGAGTCAAGCTGCTCAGTTCGTTCCATTTCAGCAGAAAACTATATGGAAGAACTTAACAGCTATGAAGACAGTTTACTGGGTGAAACAGTAGCTGCACTAACATCTGGTCTCTAAACTCTTCTCCTTCCAGACCGGCCACTCCAACTGAAATCCATACCACCTTAAAATGTGTCTCAGACTCACCTTCACGCCAGCTTGGGACTGGGCACTGAACTTCCTCCCGAAGGACTTCAGCAGGGCGGTGTTGAAGTAAGTGGGCTCTGCCAAAGTCAAGGTCATGACTTTATTCACCACGTCACTGCTGTAGCCTTCAAAGTTGAAGTCGTAGAGGGAGCGTCCATCTTGCGCCACCACTTGAAAGGCGATGTTGGTCTTAACGGGTTCCGGGCCAACGCAGCACAGACCTGGTATCGAGGAAACGTAACGGACGATCTCTGGCAGGAAGGCCTGGAGTTTGGCGTGGCCACTGATCAGCATCTCATTGGGAGCTCGGTTTCCCCGAGAAATATCGAATCCCATGGCGATATCGATGCTGCAGGCTGAAGCAAAGGGAAACACGTCTTTACCTTTGGCAGCCAGAGAAACAGAGGAATATGGAGAGAAAGAACAATTTTCAACTCACCACTGGGATCTTTGACGGGTTTAGATTTGCAGATCGTATCGACCACCTTTTGTTTGATCTTTTCCAAGCTGCCGAAGCTCTGCACAGTAAACAGCCTCTCTGGGGTGCCGGTGATCTGCAGGAGCTCCAGATCGTGGACGTCTCCAATGCCGATGGCGAACACCTCGATGCCCAGAGCCCTGAGACGGTCAGCTGCGTCCTCCACGTCGTCCTGCGACTCACCGTCTGTGATCAGCACCAGGTTCTGGGAGATCCCGGTAGATCTTCGGCTACCCCGAGACGCCTCAAAATAATCCCTGATGGAATCCAGGGCCAGTCCGATGTTGGTGCCTCCACCGAGCTGCTCCATGTCCAGGATGTGCTTGGTGATGGCTTGCTCGCTGTAAAACTGGTTGAGATAAAACTCCTTTTGGAAAGTGCTGCTGAACTGGGCGAGTCCTACACGCACTAGATTTTCACTGACTTTGAAGCTGTTCACCAGTCCCGTGGTGAACTGCTTCATGGTGGTGTAGTCGTTTGAGCTGATGCTGCCAGACTGATCGATTAGGAAGACCAGGTCCGCCTGCTGTTTCTCACAAACTGTGGAAGCAAAGAGAGGAAATGTATCCACATTACTCAGAAATAATCGTGCCATATACTTCAGTCATTTGAATTTATTCTTGATAGATTTCAACACTGTGGTTGGAGGCTCCATGCTCTTCGCTTGACTCATGTCATAATGCCACTATCAACACTGATCTAAGTTAATCACTTGAGTAAATAATATAATCCCATTTAGAGCCCAATGAAGAAATTGCTAGGATGCAATTATTGGCTGATATTTGCTTGCAGAGAATATTGGCGGATATGCTTATTAAAGAAATTGTTTAATGGGCTACTTGTATATTTGCTAACATTAATGTCCTCACTAAACCATATCATTGAACTGCATATACTGCAAATATACTGTGATCTTATACAGTGACTTTCCAATTTGTGAAAGTCAAGTGCGAGTAGTGGTATTATTTTGGTTTGTCAATGAATCTTTGCAAAGCTAGAAAGAAGGTTCTTAATGATGCTTTGAATATTTACGTATTCCTGTCTAGATTCAGAGTGGAAAAGGTGCGATGACACTTTGGCCTCTTACCTGGCTTGGTGGAATTGCAGAGGACATGAGTAATATTCTTGTACAGAGTTTCCAGGGCATCAAAGTTATCCACATAGAAAACTCTGGACATGTCGTGACCAGACATGATCTCCAGCTGTGTCCTGTTGGCTCCTTCGACTCCGATACTGAAGACGCTGATCCCTTTGTCTAGCAGCGCCACGGATGGAGGGACCAGACTGTTACGGTCGGTAGCATCACCATCTGTGATCACCACGAGAATCTGTGGAACCTGGAGTTCCGCTCGACCACCATGTGCATCGTTAAAGAACTCTACAGAGTATGCCAAAGCCCTGCCGGTGTAGGTGTCTCCATACGGGGACGACAGTGCTGATATTGCATTAAGAACGTCTCGTTTGGAGTTATACTTTTTCAGAGTAAAAATAGATTTGGGGTCGGTGGAGTAAAGAATGACCCCGAAGCGAGTCAGGTCCTTGCCAACTGTGGTTTGGTTCACCATTGACGCCATAAATTTCTGCATGCTTCTGAACTTGCTCAGAGTTATGCTTGTGGAGCCATCCACCAGGAAAATAATGTCAGCTCTTTCTGTCTTCTTACACTCTGGTTGGAGATAAAAGGACAGAGAGCGAATTAGGTCAAAGGAAAACGTAGCAGGAGGAGGAATCACATCAACATTTATATGCTTGTTTGCCATCCAAAAACATCAAAGCTGTCTTATTTATATGTTCAGCTAGAAAACTAAATGCTAGATGGTAAATGGACTGTACTTTTATTACGCTTTTCTAGTCTTTGACCACTCAAAGCGCTTTAACACTACTTGTCATCATTCACACACATTCATACACTGATGGGAGGGGCTACCATGCAAGGTGCTACCTGCCCAGCAGGACTAACTAACATTCACACAACATTCAGACATGTGAAGCTTATGGAAGCAATTTGGGGTTAAGTGTCTTGTCCAAGGACACATGAACATGGACTAGTGGAGCTGATTGAAGGACAACCCGCTCCAACACTGAGCCACAAGACAGATTGCAAATGTAAATCCTCAATACCTCAATACTAGATGTGAGTCTGTAGTCTAAAAAAGAAGAGGGGAAATTCGTGTCAAACTTTTAAGCTTAATCACTGAAATGATTGCCTCATACCTCTCTGTGGGTCACAGAGCTCCAAGGCTACCTGGCTCTCCAAGTCCTTCAGAGCGTCAAAGTCCCTCTCGGAATACACCCTGTCTGGTGAACCGCTGATCTCCAGCAGCTGGGTGGTGTTGGCGTCCACCACTCCGATGGCGTAGACCACCACTCCCTTGGCCCTCAGAGCCTCAGCGGAGCCTTTGACCTCATCCTGGGCCTCACCGTCTGTTATCACTATCAGCCTCTGCCTCATGCCAGGACGCCCTCCTCCGGTTGCGTCAAAGTACTGCGACACATCAGTGATGGCTTTACCTGTGTCGGTGCCTCCACCAATCTGCTGCATGTCATCGATGGCTTTGGACATTCCTTCCTTGCTGTAGTAGAGGTTGAGGGGGAAGGCTAGTTGTTGGATGGAGCTGAACTGCATGACACCGACGTGCACCTCGTTCTGCCCGATGACGGACTTGCTGATGACTGATTTCATGAAGTCTTTCATTTTCTCGTAGTCTTTTGGATAGATGCTCCCAGAACTGTCAATCAAGAAAAGGAGGTCGCCTGGTGTGTCTTTACAAGCTGTGGACACAGTAGCACAGACATGTTAGTGTGACGTTCCTCTTTTTTCCTGCTGAGCTAACCTGGGGCCCTATTGTATCATAACAAAATATATCTACTTTATGTAGAAAACAAAGCGGTGCCGGCGCTGCCTTAAGGCATCAACCAAGAACCAAAAATGAACCATTAATCATTTCCAGCCAGGGACCCTCACTTCCTGTCACCTCTATGCTACTATCAGCTGTCCAATGCTAATGTGTGACACATACAGAACATCCAGTTTTCTTACCGTCTTGAGAGCAGATGTCTGTGATGATGTCGTCCTTGATGGGCCTCAAAGCATCAAAATTATTGACGAAGAAAGTCCTCTTGGGGTCGCCGGCAATCTCTCCCAGCTCAACCGCATCTGCGTTTTTCACCCCGATGGCGTAGACGATGACGCCCTGCGCCCTCAGTTTTTCTGCGGGAACCTTGACCTCATCGGAAGATTTTCCATCGGTGATGACCACCAGGTACTCTGGGACTTTGTGACCACGAGTTGCCATGGCTCGATCAAAGTGTGGGCTCATGAATTCCAGTGCTCTTCCCGTCTCTGTCCCACCTCCGATTTGTCTAATATCCTCTACTGCTTTCTCCAACTTCTTTGCATCTGAGTGGGTTGTCAGATCAAATTCTAAATCTGCCGAATCTGCATATTTTGCAACCCCCACGCGGACATGTTGTGGCCCGATACGGAATGTATGTAGAAACTCAATGATGAACGTCTTCATGTCTTTGAAGTCTTTGGGGTAAATGCTTCCTGAGTGATCAATCAGGAAGAAGATGTCGGCTTCATCTGTTTGTACACAGCCTGGAAAATTAAAGACAAAAATATTATGAGTTATTTTTCTGCTATTTTTGCTATAAATGCTTTCTATTCTTTCAATTTTGACTTAAAACATAATTTCAGACTTATTCAACAAAGCCAGTTATAACACAAAACACTGGTTCAGACCTTCTTTGATGCCGGTTCTTCTTGTATTGACTGAGACTGCTTGCCGAAGGATGTTGTGGCACAGCATTTTCTGCATGCTCTGCTCTAGCGATTTCAGTTTGGCAAAGCTGTCCACAATGAACATGTGCTTATGTGGGGGATAAGATGCCATCTCTACCAGCTGTTCCTCATTGGCATCTTTGACCCCTACTGCATAGACGGTGATACCATCTCGACGAAGATTAGCGGCTGCCGTGCTCACGTTGTCCTGGGATTCACCGTCTGTGATCACCACCGCCACCTGTTGGACACCCTTTGCTCTCCTGCTTCCTCTTTGAGGGATGAAAACCTCCTTCAAGGTGAACTCTAGGGCCACTCCAGTGTATGTACCGCCACCACGATAAGGCAGGATTTTGATGAACTTCAGCAATTCGTTCTTGTCATTGAAGGAGTTAAGGTAGACCTGTGCTGTGGACTTGTCGTTGTACGTAACGATGCCCACTCGGACTCGAGACGGACTGACTTCCAGGCCACTCACAACCGAGTGGAGGAAAGTGCGCACCAGCTGGAAGTTGTCGTTTCCGATGCTTCCAGACTCATCAATGATGAACACGATGTCGGCCAGTTTGGCTGCTTTGCAATCTGTGAAAAGAGTTGTATGATCACAGAATCTTTATTACCAATTCATAATTCACTGAACATTTCTACATGAAAGATGAAAGCTCATTTCATTAGACAATCTGTTACATTCTGTATTTCTTGCTGAGTTCAGACTTTAGCCCTCGTACGTTTAAATGAGGCTCGTCCGGTGAAAACGTAGAGGGCTACAGCAAACCAATGCAGGTAGTCTGGGTACAAAGTTGAGTCTGCTCAGGTGAACTTTGTGACCGCTATGGCCCTGTGAAATGTCTAAAACATACGAGAGGGCCAGTGGAGAGGACAATAAACAGGTATACACATAAACTTAACAACAAGGTAATCAAACTGTTTGAATCTGAATCAAATTTAGAGAGGGGGTTAAATACTTATTCAAGTTTCTCAAGTGATGAATAGATAATAATAAAGGTATTTAACCTCCAGAGAGAATGATCTCCGCCTCCTCTCTTTCAAAGATAGCCTTCAGGTTGGTTACGCTGCTGATGGACTGGTAGATGTACGGTGCCGTCGCTACGAGACGCATCTCCTGCACGGACGGACTGAGGCTCATCCCAACCACAGTTACTCCTGAGGATTTCATCAGACGTGACTCCCTATACACAGGATCATCGGAGTCTTTTCCACTTATAACAACAAGGAACTGCCGGTAACCCTGGTCCGCCCGGCTTCCTGCCTCACTGGTGAAAAAGTTAGTGCTGGCAAAGTCCAAAGCGTGGCCCAGTTTACGAGGCTCGTTGGGTTGCAGTCTTCGCTGTCGGAAACGCTTAACGGAGTTCTGAGTCTCCTCTTTGGTTTGATAAGCATTGAGATGAAATTCAACATTGATATTTTGACCGTACTGGGCCAAACCCAGACGGTAGGTGGACGCTCCGATGTTCAGCTGATTGACCAGTCGAGAGAGGAGGGTCCTGACCTGCTGGAAGTCTGTCAGAGACATGCCACTGTCCACCAGGAAGAAGATGTCTGCAAACTTTTCTGCCAAGGCTGAAAGGAAACAAACCAAAGAATAGTGAGAGGATCGGCTGTTATGGAAAAAAACTCTGTAAACTGTAACGTAGTTAGTCAAGATCAGATTGCATCTCGCCCACAAACTAAGTTACTGTATAAAGAGATATCACTTTCATTTTGGTATTATTTCATATTTAGTATTTAGTATGAACCTCTGTACTTAATGGTAGGTAAATATACTTTTGTTCTTCTCACAGGTTGCAAAGGCTGGCAAATCAATTCTTAAAGCAAATAGTAATCCTTATCTTGAGGCCTTTTCCCGGCGAGTGAACCATTTCTGTGGGAAACTAAAGTTCAATACAGTCTGTCCCCATTCCAAACAACACATGTCTCTTAATGTTCGCTGACACGGCATGTTTGGCTGACCTCAAATTGGAACTTAATCACTGCAGAGCCTTCATGTGTTTGTCTGAGGGCTCAAAGCACTTGAAGTTATAAGTGGAACAATATATGCTTTAAAGCAAAAGGAGCATTTATTTAAAACACAGTATAATGTCAGATCCACCAGATAGAGAGACCTGGTGGATCTGACCTGAGACCTGATGTCATTGTGATGTAATCAGAGTTATGCCAGCTCTGGCTTATGGACAAAACCAATCACCAATGCCAATCACATAACCGGTGATCCAGAGCGATACAACCAAAGACGTTAATCATTGTGCAGTCGCTTGGCGTTAAATAGTCCATGTAAGTGACACCACTCTGTGCTTATCACCGCCACGCCTGATTTGCTGTGAATACAGCCTTAATGTCACGATGTCTCTTATTAAATCAACTTTATGAAAGCACAATAATACTTTTTTGTCTTCATTCAGTCAGTTATGTGTTGCAAGACACCTCTCGCTGCTCTTAAAGGTACTTTTCAGTTGCTTGTGAATACTGCAACACGTTACCTATTTTCAGGTAATTGTTTTCCTCTGATTCCTATTGGCCTTACCGTGCCTCTGATCCTCCACAGAGATGCAAACAGTTTCCAGCAGACCTACGGTCAGCCTCTGCAGAGCCTGGTAGTTATCGGTGGAGGACAGGAAGCGCTCCGGAGGCCGGTTGGCGATGGACTCCAGCTCCTTTCGGTTGGCTGCTCCGACCCCGATGCCAAACACGATGACTCCGTGCTGCCTCAGGCGCTGGGCGGGCACTACCACATCGTCGGTGGAGTCTCCATCTGTGATGACCACAGCGATCTGAGGCACCCGTTGTTTGGCTCGGCTCCCAGCACCCTCTGTGAAGTAGTTCTTCAGGAGGAATTCGATGGCCTCACCCGTTTCCGTGCCTCCTGTTCGGTAGGGAAATGTGTCCACTGCATCCAGCAGGGATTTCTTGTCCATGTGATCCTTCAGCAGGAACTCCATTGTAGTTTCATCGCTGTACTGAGCCAAGCCGATCCGAACCTTGTCAGGGCCGATGTCCAGGCCGTTGACTACGCTACGGAGAAACTGCCGGATCTCCTGAAAGTTACTGATGCCGATGCTGGAAGATCCGTCAACCAGGAAGACGATGTCGGCCACCGTGGCTTTGGCACATTCTGGACAGAAGGGAGAAAAAAGTCAGCATGTGGAAACAAGCTGTGTGTGCACTAATGTACCCATTTACAATATATTTTGTCCACCATCTCTGAATTCTTATGGTTTACAAGCTTTCTTAATCAAGGTGATTTTTCTGACTGACAGTCTGTTGGATATAGATATAGATATATATCGATATATATGTAAGGAATATCTAAGTCAGATCACTGAATCACCAGGACCTGTGTGCTATTGCACGGTTTACCTCGAGACAATTGCAGGAGCTGTCGTTTGACTTCCTCTACGGTCGTGCAAAGCGTCTGGACGATGCTCTGAGAAATTCCCTGCAGCGCCGCAAAGTCAGACACGCTGTAGACGTGCTGGCTGTGCGGCTCATTGGCTATCTCTTTCAGCTGGTCTTCATCTGCATCTTTGATACCAATCGCATACAAAACAATTCCCTTTCTCTTCAGGTCCCGAGCGTGGGACTCCACGTCGTCTTGTGATTTGCCGTCGGTGATCACCACGGCGATCTGCGGCACGTTCTGGCCCCCTCGGCTTCCGGCCGCCTCCACAAAGTGCTCGTTCAGCATGAAGTCCAAGCCGAGCCCCGTGTGGGTGCCGCCACCCATGTAAGGTAATCTGCTGATGTACTGGAGGATGTCCTTCTTGCTCTGATAGGTGTTGAGCAGGAACTCGGTGCGGGGAGTGGAGCTGTACTGGACCAGCCCGATGTGGACGTGCTCGTGCCCAACGTCGAAGCTGTTGACCAGCGTGTGCAGAAACCGACGGATCTGTTTGAAGTTCTCTGTGCCGATGCTCCACGACCCGTCCACCATGAAGACGATATCGGCCACGGCCTCTTGAGTGCAGACTGAGAGGGGAAGGTTGTCAAGTCACGGAGAGGTCTTCAGAGGAAAGCTCTCAGCACAGAGCAGTTCTTTGTTCTTAGGAAAGCGTGTCAGCCAGAAGGTGAAAAGCATCAGCGTGACTTACAGACAGACGTGGTGGGTTGTTTGTGTGCATGAAGAGAAACGGGAGCAGCTTGTGGACAGTTTGTGGACAGCACCTTCAGGTGCATTCTGGGATGCAAAAGTGTGAAGAGCAGCGGAAGTGAAGTGAACAGTGAAGTGCTGATGCAACTCTATCTCTCCTTTAACTTCTCAATCTCACTAAAACTTGACATACCTTTCATTCATGTGCCTGGTTGCAGAAAAAACTTTTCAGTGTTCTCATACTTTGGGTTATTTCTAGAAACTCCTCAACGAGACTCAAACTGACTGGAAAAGAAAATCTATGGTCTCCAGTGAAAATCTGCGTGAATTTCATGCAGGAAAACTACGTATATTAGTTGCTTAAGCTTCACCATGGTTTACTGTAACCGTCTCTCTATCTGGCCCCTCCCTCTTTCCCCAAACATCCAGATGGTAATATCCATGTGTTCTATGCAACAGGGTGAAGAAGATTAATGCTTCGTGTCCGAGTGCTCAGCAGAAATCACAGAGTGGTGACGGGTTAGTAACGGTGCACCACACACGCTGGTCCTACAGATGATCCTCTATGTGCTGGAATGCAGGAAGTTAAGTCACAGCTGCATAATCACACCCACCTGTCTTCTGAGCGGCGTTGCCGTAGAAACACGCTGCCATGATGAGGCTGAGGAAGAGACCCCGCCTCCCCTCCATGCTTTGAACGGCTCTCGGGTTTCTCTCTGCAACACAAAGACAAGAGAAGTGAATGCAGAGGATCTGTTTCCCATCAACAGGCCACGCCCACCGTGACTCCACATTACTAAACTTTATGGTCTTTCTCAAGAAGAAAACACCTCGGAGCTGTCGTGCGGTGGCTTGCTCAACAAACAAGTCGCACATTTTGGGAAATGTCCACTTGAAAGAGGAATTGACTGAAACCTTTAATGTGAGCGCCAAAGTATTTAGTGGTGGAAGAAATATTGAGATAATTCCCTGATGTAAAGTATAGTTCTCAGTGAAGTCTGTAAAATGAAGTATTTAGATCTTAAACTGTGTTTTTAGCCTCTGAAGACTGGAGACGTCTTCAGGTCCGACTTTTACATAAAAAAAACATACTGAAGTTGGGCTTTTGTTTTCTGTTACGTTAGACATAGTTTGTTGTTTAAGCTCAAGTGTTTTTTTAACCCATAAAATTTTATGGGTTTTCTTCATCAACTAAGAGGTTTTCAATGAGTAAAATACTTATTTTTCAATGACGGTTGGACGTTGAGTCTAGAAACAGAGTTCAGTGTCAACGGTGTTCAGAGATAAACCTGGAGTCAGACTCTGAGTGACAGCTGAGGGGTTAAGAGTGTGAACAGCGGGCGTCTTCTAAAATAATTATGTGTCCATGAACTTTGTCTCCCGTCTTATTTAAACCATCTCTATAAACACATAACAGGAAGTACAGGGACAGAGGAGGACGTAGAGGACAGTTTGTCTCC